ATCTACATCGAAATTAAAATATTTTGAGAAGGAGCCGATTTCTACAGGATTTTGGACCCCGTCCTTTCGATGCTTACAGTCATGCTGATGGTGCTAAGAGGTTGTTTGTTTTCGAGTAGATTTTGTCTAGTTCAATACACCATTCGATGCGTCTTGAAAAACTCTACAATATGTGTGTTTAATAGGAAACTTAACGAAGCTTGGCAGCAGGTTTTATGAAATAAATACTAGACTTTTCCATAGGTCGTGACTATGCCACTGGAACTCTTGATCTCTTTTTTCTATGAAATTAAAGAGGATCTCTAATCATTCAGACCAGGGCTCGGAATGGGCTGGGTTAAAATCAACCCAGGGCCTATTATGGGCCGAGTTTTTTGCACAATCAGAACTATGGGTCGGGCTGGGCCACTACCTATTGTAATGGACGCTCATGGGACGAAGTTCTCTGCCCATGGGTTGATGTATAGAAAAACCGACATTTTCCTACTAGAGGCCGAGTGAGAATGGTGACAAATTTACTCTTTTAATATTCTGCTCTGTCATTGGTCCTATGGAATAGAAGAGTAAATGATAAGTAGCCTTGATCAGCATAGTAAATTCAGGAAAAACCTTTTATTAGATGGGGCGGCTCATGGATCGGGCTGGGCTGGAAATTTTATGAACTAAAAGCCATGGGCTAGGCCATTAAAGGGCGAAATAGTCCATGAACCAACTTTTCCCGGCCCATTCGGAGCCCTGATTCAGACACTATCCAATATGCAGCCTATTCCGACACACCGTTCGATGCGCCTTGAAAAGCTCTACAACATATGTTAATAAGAAGCTTAACTGAGCCTGGCAGTGCCGTTTGCGAATTAAATACTAGATTTCTCTATAAGTCAGGGATACGATAGTGCAGTTAACCAGTATCAGCTTTTCTTGGAGCTAAAATTTCGTATTCGATTGCTTCAAATAGTCTTGAAATCGTATGAAACATAAATAATCGACAATGCTGAATGTTTCTGGAGTGGATATTTTTCGAACAATTCCGAAACCTGGTAAAAACCGAATTTTATGAAAACAACGATTTTCAGGTTTTTTTCACTAATAGTAAAAATTCACTATTCATGAAATTTCTCGAAAATCTTGACCTAGTTGAAGTGATGAATTGTCAAAATCATCGAATATGATGGTTCTCCTGAGTTTTGGACAGATTGGAACGGTAAAAGTGAGTGGGCCGATTTCAAGTCTTATGCGGACTGGATCTTTTTTTATTTCACCTTTTGAATCTGGTATCTCTGAAAATATACAAACGTAAAGTTAGTCTGTAGAATTTCAACGCATATGCTTACTTATGATTATCCTAAATATTGTTGAACAATTAATTATATTTCAGATGAAAAATTACTCTTAAATTTAATATAAACAAAATATCATGAGTTCGATATCGAATTGTACATTAACATCTGAACAGTATCAGGGATTAATTCATTTCTATAGACGTCATATGAATACTCAAAATTTTCTATTATTTAACGCAAAAGTATGTCATTATTTAATTGAATCAAATTGTCATGAAATTCAATTACCAACAGCGACAAATATTATAACAAATAATACATCATCATTTAATTCATCATCTTATTCAAATTATCATGAAAGTTTTTTAATTCGTTATATTCAAACATTGACTCGTGATGAATGTGAATTATACACAAAACAATTTCGTCGTAAATTAACATTATTTCTTCTAGGTTTAATATTATCAATATTAGTTATTATATTAAATTCTATTGTAACAATAACAATATTTTATTCTCAAAAATTACGTTCATTTATTACAAACATATTTTTATTAAATTTATCTATTGCTGATACTCTTAGTGGATGTTCATTTTTATATCCAAATATTATGAATATATTAGTTGAATATTCAATTGTAAAATATAATTCTCAATTATTTTTAAAATTAAATATTATACGTAATAATTATTTTATATGTTTAATTGCCTATGCGTTTATTATGTCCGGTATGTTAATGTCTATAAGTATTTTATTATCGATATCAATTGATAAATATATTTATATATTTAAACCCTATAAATATCCAAAAATTGTTACGAAAAAACGTTGTCTCATATGGATTTTATCATTATGGTTAATGGCCATTGTTATTGGTACATTACCACTATTTGGATGGAATAAAATGAAACGTTGTAAATCAGCTCAATCATGTTCAAATTCAAATAATGTATGTTTAATTGATCGTGTATTTACAACTGATTATTGTTCATTATTTGCTACATGTAGTCTTGTAGCAGCTATTGTTATACTTTATATTTACGTGAGAATATTTTTTATAGCCAGAGATCATGTACTAAGAATTGAACAAATAAGAGATTCTATAAATTATGAAAAATTTAAATTAGTTTCTACTGATATTGAACATAATAATAATGAGAGAATGAAACGATTTGATTCAACAACAACTACAACAACAACATCATCCTCAAATGTTAGTAGAAATTCATCAAATAATTCAAATAAAATTTGTTGTACACCTGCTGCTATGTCAAAAATAAATAAAGAACAAATTACCACACGTAATCGTATACATTTACGTTCACCAAAACAATCAATAACAGCTATAAATAATGAAAAATCAAAAAGAAAATGGTTTCAATTTTCATTTGGTAAATATAATAAATTTATAAGATATTTTAAAAATAAAAATAAATCAATTTTTCTTTTATTATTTTAGATCCATTTAATCGTTCAAATTCTAATCGTCAATTATCTCATGTAAAACGTGTTGGTCTATTAGTGAATGTTCGTCGATGTCTTCGTGCATTACGTACACTACTTGTATTATTAGTTGGCTTTTATTGTTGTTGGCTTCCGTTACTTATTTATTTACTCTCTCATACAACAATGGGTTTTTCAAATAATTTTGCTATTCATGTTTTAATTTTAATAGCAAATGTCAATTCACTTGTTAATCCATTTATCTATGCTTATCGTTCAAAACAATTTCGTATTGCATTTTGGAATGGTACATTTGGAAAATGTTTAAAACAATCAATACCATCATCAAAAAGATCAACACAAAAAAATTATAATTAATTGTATCGTACAATCATTGTTTTATTTTAAAAAGAAGTTTTTGATCACAATTGCAATTCTTATTAGTTTAATGGTTCATTTTCTTTTCGTTTCATACTGTATAAACAGTGAATTTTTTGCTTTAATTGTGCAATAAAATAAATAAATAAATAAATAAATAATCAAACAGATACTTGTACTTGCTTGTTTTAGAATTTTTAAGAAAATTCACAAAGATTCTTGACTTGAAAAGATTATTTTATCTATTTCGAAATTTATATACTCCATAACTAATCGAAGCTTTTTTTTAGTGCATATTTACTGAGGTCAGTCAAAAAGTTCTGTCACTTTCCAGTATTTATTCATAAAAAAGGTATTCCATAGCAATGGTATTCGATAGCAAATGTTAGGGGTAGTCACCACGATGTTCGATACTCAGTTTCATCGTGGCTTCCCTTCCTAAGGGCCCTTTCAGAAAAAAAGAATGTTAAAATTTTTTTAGGAGGAGCGTTGGGTAAAAAAGAGAAAAAGAGGAGGCACTTTTTTGGCCAAAAAACGGTACTGACAATGTTGTGTACACGTCAGAGTGGCTTAAGGCTCTCATTTCATCCTACTTCAAGTATTTTAATCCGTGTTTCACGAGTAAAACACTAAGAAAAACACAGCAAAAAGGAGTAGTTTAACACAGAAACATTTCTGACTGTTCAAATAGCATCGCCAACTGTTAAACTAATCTAAAAACAAATTCTCGCTATTGAATATTCTTCTTATCATTTCTTTTTTGATTGTTCTTGAGATACTTAAGACGGATGTAGATGAACTTCGTGATAAAGTTGTGGCTGTATGAAACGAAGATGTTGGAGAAACGAATGTGATATTTTCTTTCAACTCGCTAATTTTTTCACGGTGTTTATCTCTCTTCGTACTATCGACTGCCATCCTTTGTTCCCACAATCTAATTCGCCCGTTTTACACAATGTACATACGAATGTTGATTCCTTAGCACCTTACTTTGACTATCGTCTCACAGGAACTTCATCTACTGTTTTCTGTAACCACGAGTGATTGAATTTTGTTTCATATGACGGTATTGATAAAAAAAAAATATCTGAAACTACTTTCAGATCTAAAAATAGCGTGAATTCTGGTAATTTTGCTAAAAAATCCAGGAAAAAGAGGAAAATTAGCTCAAAAAGAAGAGAAAGAGAGGTGTTGGATTAAAGGGAAAAGAAGAGGAAAAGAGGAACATTACGAACCCAGGTTTCATCGTTTCAATCCACTTTTCAGATGTTTTGCTGTATTATTAACAAACAAATACGGCACAACATTTGAAAAGTGGATTGAAAGGATGAAACTGAGTATCGAACATCGTGGTGACTATCTCTAACATTAGCTGTCGATAGATCAGTGAAATGCCTTTTTTATGAATAAATACTGGAAAGTGACAGAACTTTTTGACTGACTTAAGTATATGACAGATACTTCGTGAAATATTGATAACAGAAATTGGATGGAAGTAAATAAAATGGTTGTGAATTCTTAACTACTCATTTCTTTCCTTTTGATTATTAGTTTTGATACTAGAATCAGAACAGTTTATGTTTTCCTAATATTTTGATTATAAATAGCGGACTTCGAGATTTTCTAATGAAAATTATTCATTTTTGTACAGCTGAGACTTACCATACATTGTTCTCTCATCAAAAAGAAGAATATAGCGTTGTCCAATTTACGAAAACAATAAAATACATCTTGTAGGTCTTGAAACTTTAAAATATCTTGTAATTGATGTAAATAATATTGTAAGATTTCTGTATAAAAACAAAACAAAGGAGAGATAATAAATTAGTCATTCCTTTCATCGGTTAGTTTCTGGCTACGTTACCTGGTAATCCGTAATCTGAACGAGAAAGTTAACATGGTCGTAATTTTCAGCTAAATTATGTATGATTTTGTCCAACTAAGAAAAATAACAGAATGTTTGAATCGAAAAATAAGAACGTGGATATATTATGTGCAAGATTTTTGATTTCTTCTATAACAACAACGATATTCTGATATACTAATTGACACGTCAACGCGTAAAAATACTGTACATCTACTAGAAGAAACCAAAGAAAATGTTGTACAAATAGATCATTGTTAATCAATAATTGTTTATTTTTACCTAAAAGTCTTCAAAATAAATTTATTTATGAATGGCTTCACACATTGTAGCAATAAAAAAGTATAGGTCAATTATTGAAATATGTGCACTGCAATTCAACCAAAGAGTGCTAATCCCTTATGATTATTGTCATTTAACAACGATTCAAAATCATTCAGTGACAAATATTGTAATTCTCACTCGTATGTTAAACGATTGACTTTCTAAAATAATTACAGTACAAGCATATAAAATACAAACGAATTACATTTTACTGAATCGTACCATAATTCCACATTGAATATTTTCACATTCAAAACTGCATATCATGAAAGTGTAACCGAAATAGAATCTGTGAATCATCATCTGCTATGGCATTAGTATGGTACTGACTGCGTATCCGTATGTGACAATATTGAAGTAATGTAATGAATCTATTGGTAGATAGAAACATTACTTTGATACCAGTTATATGATATTTTGATTCTCTTGTTTATCAAGTAGTGTACTAAACAAAAACAAAACTGCAATAGATAAAAATGAAAATACCAACTATGCAGTGATACATTTAAAGTGTGTAAATATTTTATCATTTAGTTTAAACACTAATTGAATCTAGATTAACGTAAACTTCAGCTTTAAGTCGATTATATAAATAGTATTGAGGAAACTATGCTAGTGCATACATAGCAATTGTTAGATAAAGCATATATCTCAAAAACAATGATTTTATCCATGAAAGATAGGTTTAAAGACTTTTCTTACTATAACGTCAGTTTATTCGTTCCATTCCAATATAATTCCAACGCATTGATATAGCGGTTGAAAACTAGGAGAAAACAACTCGTATAATAAAAATCAAACTGAATAAATAATCCCGTAACGTACTTGAATTTTTTTCCTCATTCAAATTCTATGCCAAAACTGCGAGAAGCAAGTGTGAACCATTTATTAATACTATTATCTAATGATAGTAAATTTTTCTTGACTATTGAAATTATAACGTATTGTCTGAAATAAACGGTAAAAAACGTGTGGAAGGTACAATGCAGTGTCCAAAAACTGACCTGTTTATTTGTTACCATGATCTTCATAATTTTTATTTTTACAATAATTCTAAAAAGAGCAAAACGTATCTTTAAAGAAAGTTCAATCAGCGCTTCGAAACAAATTCGAAATTGGTGAGCGTCAATTCGACAAAATACATGCATCCAAAATTACAGTGGAGCATTTAGCAGATACTTTAATGTCATACATTTAACTCAAAAACGTTTTCATGCTGATTTTTCTTTGTTGTGTGGAGACGAGGATATCTGTACTGTGAGACCAACAGTGCATTTACAGGAGTTGCAGTATTATACCCATCGAGAAAGAAACTTTGTGACACCAGCAAAAGCATCTTTTGTGGTTGAAACATGCAGAAAAACCTCACACTATTGTTGTTACACAAATATATAGGTCATATCGTCTCAAACTTTCTAAGTGAGAATGGAATAAGCATATGTTTCTTCTATTTTACGAGCCGTTAATTTTCCCGTTACAGATTGGCCACCAATGAATCGAATTTTGAAAACTGCGATATCCTGAGGTACTTACCCATTGGTAAACAATTTTAAGCAATCGAAAGCTTGTAGATATTACTGTCAAATAAACATTTTTGCGTTCGAATTTCTTTTCAAAATTACAAATATGTAGAACAATTCACAAAGATAAATTCGAGAATATGCTATACTGATCGTGGAACGATTAAATTTCGTTCAATAACCGTTTGTTTGCTCTGCTTTTTTCCTTTTATGCATTTTTTTTCTTGACAACAAAGCGTAATTTGAAGAAGGCTAAAAGAAATCTCAATTTTCCATCATTTTGATGGGTACCTATTGAAAACTTTTCTCCTTCAAACGGCCGTGGTTTTTGGAAAAATCTCTTTGAAAGAAATTTGTTTTAGAAAGCGTATTTGAAAGTGCTTGGAAAGAAAAAAATTTAAATTGATTGTAGTTTTGCTCGTGTTAAATCAATTTTGATTTTAAATTTTGAACGTTTATTTCTGAAATAAGCACATTAAAACCTACTTTTTCAAGAAAACGGCGTTGATTATATGTTTCAAAAAATCAGCACGTTTGTCTGTAACCAGTGACTGTCTGTCGGAAATTAGTGACTCGAGTAATTTTTAACTATGTCCGGACTCTCACGATATTTACCTTTGATACTTTGTGAAAACAATTTAAAAGTATAAATACTACTTTAACATTTTAGCTCAAGATAATGTATTTGAGCAGAGTTGCGCATTTTATTTTACAGAGAGTACTTTGTCGGTGAAAGCATCGCCTCTTTTTCCCGATGAGAATCCCACTAAAATATGTTCAAATCAGTTTTTTAGAAAAAAGGAAACGTGGTTAAACTGCGTTTACACATTTTTTTTACTTTTTTTCTCCAAAAAATGCATTTAATCGAGTTTTTTTAAAGTTCATGACTCATAGTCTTAGACTCAGAGACTTGGTAGCGAACTACAATTTTCACTTGAAATTTCCTCAACTTCTCCCTACTCTTTCGATATAGAATTGTCAAGAATCTACGAAATAGTACTAATTACTGGACGATGATACTTTATACGATAAGTATACAGTATAATCCTAGTAAGTTAGATACAATTTATCAGAAGAAAACATGAAGCTAGAAAAACAAAAGTTAAACATCCTTAATTGGAGTGACTATATCGATAAATGCGTTTATTTCCTTGTTCCATTGACTTTCGTCTAGGATCGTACGTCTGGTTCAGAGTTGCCAGATGCTTAGGTCAGAAAAGCGGAATAAAAACGTATTAGTTCATTTTTCGCAAAATGCAAAGGGTATCAAAAAATAATTTTCTAGCGCTTTA